GTTACGTATGTAACCCTCGTTCCCTGAAGGAGGGAACGGAGACGTCACGTCCCGTCGCCACAGCTCCTGTACCACCGCTGAGCGGCCGGGTCACCGGCTCGGCTCCTCCGCGAAAACCTGAATATGCGTTGCATCTGCTGCCTACTTATACTCACGCTGTGATCAGCAGCAGCTGGATGCAATAATCGCATGCCAATGTGCATTGGCTCGTTTAGTTTACACTCGAAGTGGATTGGTCTCTCTAAGCGAGATCCCAATTTCGTCGGTCAGCCGACGTGACGTCTCCGTTCCCTCCTTCAGGGAACGAGGGTTACATACGTAACCGAGACGTTAGTTTTAGTTTAAGTGCAGTTTTAGTTTATTTCCAGTTGACATAAATGCATTTCAGTTAGTTGGCAAGGCAATATTTCTAATTTTCCTTTAGATTTCGTTTTTCATCTAATATTTAAATTGTATTTTATTTCAGGGCTATTTCAGTTAGCAAAAAAGTTTTAATATTTTTGGTAACAATAATAATGTTCTAGGTGACTACTAGAGCATAGAAAGTTAGTTAATTGACAGGCTAATTGTCTAAGTTGTGGAACTTAAGTTAACTTTAAAAAGTATAACTGTTCTTGTTATTTATGGAAGCAGATGCTATTTAAAATGGCTGAGAGTTAATGACATTGTATATGTACGTTTTATAGATTAGCAAAGTGAAAAATAATTTTCACCTGGATTTCTCATCATAAGACAAAGAAGAAAACAATTCCGGCTAATTAAAGCAGAATCTGCCTCAAAGCCACATATGCTAGAAAAGTCACATGACTGCAGGTGGTTCCTCGCTAATTGTTATAATTCGTATCAGACTCCTTTTATATGAGAAAACGTGAGTCATAATCATTTTTCATTTGTTCCACAGATGTCTTTATTTATAACCGCACTTTCATCGAGCGAGTCTCTGCCTCGTATAATTAGTTCCTTCCTGTACGCGGCTGTAAAAGTCTCATTACAGAAGAGGCAGAAGTGTCCTGATAACACTCTCCCTCTGTGTGTGTAATTAATGGTGTTCCCCAGCAGACAATGAACACCCGCTTCTGAGTGAATATCCGCTCACCGGCCATCTGCTTTAACACAGCGCTGTTGATCATCAGAGTTTATGTGGAGAAACATCTACTAATACATTTAAGCATGGCTAATACTATTAACACTATTCATTCTTGGGTTAGTGATTTGAAGTGATTAGAGTTTTGCTCCAGAATTGACTGATTCCTCAAATCATGTTTCTTGTTAAGGAGAGTTGAAAAATATGTTGTCTTACTCATTTTTTTCTTCTTTTCAAGTGCAAATATTCTGTATATATGTGTGTTGTATACGTGTGTGTGTGTGTGTAAGCAAATAAATAGACAAATACATAAAACTTATATTAAATAAAATAAACCAACAGAGTAGAAAAAAATATTTAACAATTACTAAATAAATAAATAGATTGATTTTGATTTTTTTTAGCATTTTATATACTCTGTGTGTGTGTGTGTATAGTAAAATGAATAAATAAATAAACAAATAAATTGAGTAGAAAAAAACATAATCATGTAACAACTAAATATTTTCCCCCAAAAAAATATTAGTGTTTATTAAATTTAAATAAATAAAAATAAATAATATACTGTGTGTATTATTAAAATATCTTTACATAATACCATTTAATAATATTGTAATAGATACACATGCATATTCTAAAGTGTGTGTGTATATATGACATTTATAAGTAGTCGTATTTAAATAATAACATTTAATATGTTAATGTTAAAAGACGTATAACATATATATATTAATATTATGAAATGCTTTTAAAAAATATTAAAAATGCAATATACAAACTTAAACTGCAAAATAAAATTGTTTTTGTTTTTCTGAGCAAAAAATAAATATCATACATTTTTCCCTGATTTACAGAAGAGACCCACTAAAATGACGTTCAGTGTAACAATCTTGTCAGGCATTTTTACAACAAAAATCAATTTATGACATATTAAAAGACTAATTACTTTCACCCCAAATACTAATTAGTTGTAATTTTACATTTTTAAAATGTGCCACTATCCTAGGTTTTGCCCATTTGTCAGTAAGAATTTTTTACTCATTTAAAACACAATAAAATTTTATATGCTCTCTTATTCTTTTATATATTTTAATATGTACACGTCAGAATAAGCATGTTGTTTGAATTTGTACATAAATATTGTGTTACACTGAATGACAATGTAACATTATTTCAACCAAATTTTGACATTTTATTCTCCAAAAACGTATTTGAAACCTTAAAAGTAGGCACTTTACTTACATTTAATGTGCTTTCTATGGACATACAATCACTTTTGTACATTTCATTTGATGCGGACATCTTAATGTCTTTGACCCATATATATATATATATATATATATATATATATACACATACATACATACATACATACATACACACAAATTTGCTTAATTGTCACACAGTATAATAATCCCCCCAAAAACATATCGATTCCACAACTGCACTGCTGATTTCTTAAACTGGATTTGGCCTTTTTAATGTGATCCTCATCTAATCCCGGGACGCACTCGCAGACGTGGGAAGCGCTGGGTATATTTGGATTGTGCAAAATGATACAAGAGCGGGTTTTGACTGAGGAGCCGAGCAACCCAGATTCCAGCTCAGATGCTGCTCTGATTTCTACAGGAGGACCGGTGGGAGACATCAGGAGATTGCCTGCTAGAGAGTGAAAACTGAGCAGGGAATGAGCCGCGCGCGG